ATATAAATAATATATATACTATGATATATATATGTATATAAGATCGTATATATATATGATATATGTAATATATATCGACTATATATATATATATATAGTATATATATATGTATTAATGTATATATATATGGATATATATATGTAGATATGATATATACTAGATATATATATATGTAATAATAGAATATGTATTAGGTATATGTATGATATATATATGTAATATGTATAGTATATAGTCGATGTATAATATTATGTATATATGTATATATATATATGTCGTATATAAATATATATATCATATAAATAACGAGTTAGATAGATAGGTCTATATACGATATATCTATTATATATATATATAGTATATATATATATATATATGTAGATATATAGATATAGAGATTAATCTCTATATCTTTATATTAGACTACACCAGGATGTATTATACATTGAATATATAATATGATATAATAGTAAATAGGATATGATATATAGGATGCTATAGATATTAATACTATATTATATAGATATATAGGATATAATATATATCATATAGCGATAGGTAGCTGTAGGATATCATATAGTATAGATCATAGAATAGATTATATTAGATATATATCATATAGATTCAATGTTTATTATACAAATTGCATTATATACATAATATGCCTAATATACATTATATATACACACGCAACACACACAGGACTCACTCATATATATATATGCTAGAGCATAGATTATACATAATATACAATGATCTACATAATATATTATCACACGCACACACAGACACTCAACAAACATAAATTAATTTTAATATTATATATATTATATATATCTATAGATAATATATCTATCTATTATATGTTATACAATATCTATCGACATATATAATTATATATAGATAACATATATATATCTATATAAGACAGATATATATAATATACAGCTATATAGAAGAGTATACAATATAGTATATAACATAGCATAATATAATATATATTATATTAATATATATATATAATATGTATATATATATGTATAAGTATATATAATGTATTCGTGTAATATATATGTATATATATGAGTATATATGTATATATATTGTCTGTATGTCTTAATAGGTAATATGCTATTATATATTATTGGATAGATGAATATAGATTCTGTAGATAATGTATATATATATATATAGATATAATCTCTATTGGATATTAGATATATTATAGGTATGTATATGATATATAATATCATATCGTATGCTATATTATCACATAATATCTATACATAGATCTAATATCATCTATAGATCTAAATATGATATATATACATACAGATAGAAGACATATAGTAGATATATACATGAATATATAGACCTAGTAGAGTAGATAAACGATCGTGAGACAGAGAGATATATTGGTTGAGAGCATAGTAGAGGAGAGAGAGAAGAGGATATATGACCAATATATAATAGGCTATAGTATAGATATTATAGAGAAGATAAAGAGAGAGATAGAAGTAGAGATCAGATAGTTGAGAGATACATAATATGCTAGACATAGAAGTATATAGTAGATAGAGAGGTATACATTGATCTATATACATATAGATATATACAGAGATATATATAGATAGATAGAGAGACAGATTAGATGATATAGATTCTATATTATATATAATATAATATATAGGATATCCATATAGATATAATATATTAGATATTATATATATATATATATCTCTATATATACATATATATAGATATAATATATATATAATATTATAGATATACTAGACCGATATAATATTTATATATATATATAGATATTCGATAATATACATATATATATATACATAGATATAGCTACTATTAGTGATTATAAGATATGATATATATCAGACACAGAATATATTATTATATATATAATTATATAGAATTGTATATATATATAGATATATATATATATAATATATGCTTCGATACATATAGGCATATATTATAATGCAGATCTTATATATGTGCATATAGATGATAGGCTCTATATCTATATAGATATATATATAATATATATAGAAAGATATCTATATATCATATACAGATAGATATGCATATATCATATATCTATATATATTGCATAGTGGTTGAGATATAGATTAGATACGAGATATATAGATAGATCGATAATATATGCTATACAGATATATAATATCTATATATATATAGATCTATAGATATATATATAGGCATATATAGATAGATATAGAGATATATATATTCTATCGATATATAAATATAGAGAGCATATAACAAATATATATTATAGATATTATATCGATATATCGATATAGATCTATATATGCCATATTATTATATATAGATTATCAGAATAATAGATAGATATATATAGATATGCATATATAATATAGATATAAAACGATAAGATATACTATATAGTAGATATATAGTAGCATCTAAGAGATAGAGAGGCATACTATATAGATAGATAGATATAGATAATATATATAGAAGATAATATCGAGATAATATATATTGCCTATATATCTTATGATCTATGCTATAGATAGCTGATATCTATATGAGCTATATATGTATATATATATGCATATATATAGTCTAATAGATATAGTAGTATAGATGCATAGATATAGCTGTATATAATATCGGATGATATATTAGAGATATATCTAGATGAGGCATAGATAGTATCATATATAATAGATAGATAAATGATGAATATATATATATAGATGATTAGATAGATATAGAGGCAGTATATAGAGTATATATTGATATAGGATATATCTATATAGATATATGTAGTATATAATATATATAGCATATTATATAGATATATAGTATATATATAACTATTATAGATAAATATATTATGCATAGTATATAGGTTTATATATATATATCCTACTAGATATATATTATTATATAATTTATGCATATTATAAGATATATATATATATATATATATATATATATATATATATATATATATATGATATATATATATATATATATATATATATATATATCTATATTATAATATATATATATATATATATATATATATAATATGTATATATATATATCTCTATCTTTATATCTATACATTATATATAGCTTATATATGATATGTATGCATATATATATAATTCGATATTATATATGTTAATTAATAGATATATTTATAGCATATATATATATGCATATATAATATGCATATAATAGATATGCATTATATATATAAGCATAATATATAATGCCTATATATTATATATATATATTTATATATATGATTGTAGATATATAATATATATATATGGATTATATATAGGATGGAGTAGTATATATTATCTAATATATATAGGATAGATGATATATAGATATGTTATTATATCCTGCATATATATTATATATATATTAGTATATTAGGCAGATGTATATATAGGATATATATATATAATAGATATATGCAGTTTATATAATATATTATATATGAATAGATATAAATAATAGAGATATATATATAATAGAAGCAGATATATTAGTTATATATAATGCATAGAGCAGATGTAGTATATATATGCATAATATAATATAATATATTATTATATGTATATATATAATGCATAAAAGAGCAAATATAATATCTATATAGATATATCTATAGTATATAGTATATATATCGATATATATAATGAACTAGAGATATATGCCATAGATAGATGATGCATATATATAGATAGGATATATATATATATAGATATATAGATAGATGCTAGAAGAGATATAAATATCTATATATAGATATATAGATAGTATAGATATATAGATATATAGATAGGAGAATGATATAATCTGCCTAGATAGGAATCTATATATATATATATATAATATATATATATATATATATATATATATATATATATATATGCATATATATATATGCATATATATATATATATATGCATATATATATATATATATATATATGCATATATATATATGCATATATATATATATATATATATGCATATATATATATATATATATGCATATATATATATATATATATGCATATATATATATATATATGCATATATATATATATGCATATATATATATATATATGCATATATATATATATATATATATACACACGCACACACACAGACACACACTCACACATACTGCCATGATAGCTCAATGGTTAGAGCACTGGACTCCGACCCTCGTGGCCCTGGGTTCAATTCCAGTTGCGGCAATTGTAAAAAATGCCTACGCTCTAACTGCTGACTCGAGAGAGGCCTATGTCCTCCAGTAGAATGAATGGCTGTTGAAAAAAATATACACACACACACACACACACACACACACACACACACACACACACACACACACACACACACACACAGCCGCGCCTGTCGGCTGTGACGTGAGTAACACGTCATCTGAAGCCATGACTAAGTCAGCCATGACATGAACCCAACATCATCCGCAAGCTATGAGAACTATTTTACACACCAATGAATCCACATGTTCATTGTCATCAAGGACTATCTATTCCTTGATATCCAGAAATAATATTTTTTGTTATATTATTATTAATATTGTTAGTAACATTAAAATAATTAGGAAAAGAGTTTTTTATTCATTTATTTATTTTTAAAATTAATTGACCCATTCCCGACGGGCATGCCATGCCATGCCCACTGTGATATTACTTGTTTGATTGTTTTTACACATAGATGGCTACACTTGTACTAAATCACCAATGAGCCAGTTACGAGTACCGCCTGTCTCGCCCGTTCACCCTTTTCTTTGATTTACGAAATATTTTACGTTATCTTATTTTGCTGTTACTAATTGTTAAAAAACATTATAAAAATTATAATGTTTATAATAAAAATAACACCATCGATATACATGGCACTGATGAAAAATACGCGTTTCCTGCCATTTCAGATCAGGTGCTAACAGAGCCATCTGTGGGCAGATATTTAACAAAAAAGTATAGAAAATAGGCACAGCATTTTCCCCATTTTTTGTTTAATTTCCCTGGCGGCAATGGGTTAATTAATTAGTTTTTTTAAATTATTATTATTATTTTTTTTTTTTTAAGAAAAATCAAGGAAAGGTCATATCAAACCAGAGGGATATTCTGTTAAGTTTAAGGATGAGGAGTACAAAATTAACCCATTACCGACTGGGAAATGGGTTAATTTTAATGGGTTTGTGAAATGTCTGCACATAGATGGCTCTGCCTTACCTGATTTCACCTTTCCTTGAATTGGCGAGAAAATGTATTTTTTTCTAGTGCTAT